TGAAATTAAAATAAATTATTTATAGGGTTCAATCTTTTAAAATGTCCACATAAATCAAACTTTATCGTTTTTGTAAGAAGCAAACTGGACGCATTGTTTTTTTCCCTATGTGTCTACTTGTAAAACATCATCATGAAGTGATAGTTGCATACTGGAATCTGGTTGTCATCTTTTTTTTTTTTATATTGACAATTATGTACTAGTAATAGCGAATGCTTCCTGGGAACTGCACGTTTCCATTACAGAGGGTCAATTTTGCTACTCTCGGGTCAGAGGCATGATTGTTCTGTCAGACTCTTTGACATAATATGAATAACAGCTGGGCAGCATCCGTAAAGGCAATGCACTGAAAAACAAAAGCTGGTAAAAATTCACAAAATAAGTATTACTGAAATTACAATTATTCATTCATGTACACCTACCATTCAAGCACCTTTGCCTCTATGTTGCCTTTCATTAGCTTTTTATTAGTGGTGATATTTAATTGCAGCAGAGAAACAGACTGTGGTAAATCTGTTAGAGCAACATTTCCACTATAAATGAAAGAGTGTCAAAACTTGTTGATAATGCAATATAAATCTCAGCTGGATACGTCAGTTCTATTTTTAGTAAATCAATAAACCACTCAGCTGCGCTCGCTCGCCGGGCATTGCCTGCAATCTGCATTGCCTGCTACATGTTATTCAACTAAACTTTAAGAGTCGAACACTCGATTTGTGCGGGCGACTCGGAGATGGGGGTGTTGCTGGCCAAGTTGCGAGTCCTTTTCTGTTGAGGACAAGTTTCAATACTGCTCAGGACTATAATGGCTGTTTTATCAACGTCGAATAACAGCCCCGAGTTTCTACATCATTAACTTACCCTAAGGCAGCAGCTGTGATGCCAACAATACCTGTCCCAGCACCTAATTCCACCACTTTCTTCCTCTTCATAACGCCAAATGTGTCGATGAAGTCATCTGTTTGTATATACGATGCCAATACGAGTGCTGCGTCCCAAACAACGCAACCGACATCTCCGATCTCGTACTGGTTAATTTCTAAAACAGAGGCATTTTTCAATTCAATTCTCGAACAAAACAATCAGGCATTTTTTCCATGGGCGCAGCCATCTTGTATTAGGACGCCCTCGCAGTTGATAGATTGAGTAGTCGTTTGTTTTTATTCACTGAGCACATTTCGAGTACGCTAATAAGGGATTGGTCAGTTACTTCGGCCCGGGCCTAGGGGGGTCGGTGGATCAGTAGGGGGGTTACCCTGTTTTTGATTTTGCGAATGGGGGGGGGGGTCACCCTGTTTTTGATATCATGAATAGGGGGTCACCATGTTTTCCAGAATCCACACACGCGCTTATGCATATATTTTTTAAAATTTTATTTCAGAACAAAAGATAAAAACGTTAATCGTACAAATGTGTTCTTATTTATAACTATTACCTATATTGCCTATAAATTTGTTGATGCAAAAAATGTTATAGGCTAAATATTTTGGGGTTGAAATTACCAAATAACTAACAGATTATGCAATGCGGCTTGAACCCCAATTATACAGTTAAGTTTTAAACACATCCCAAGTCTATTTGCTGCTGATATCAGATTATTTTATTTAAAGTCTGACGTCACCAATGTATAAGACATTTACTGGATTTATCCAATTATAACAAGAGACGGAAAGACAACACAGCAATTAGTACAAAAAGCAGTGACAGTTTTTGTTCAGCAAATCAAAAAAGTTAAATTTGTGAAAATGCTGATATATAAATTAAAATAAATGATGAAAAAATAAATAGTTTTTCTTTTGTTTTTTTTTTCACTTTTAAATAATGCATATTTTCCTCTGTAAAATACCAAATCCAACACAAATTTAAGCAAAAATCAAAGTTTCCTTTGTTTTTATAAGCACAGACTGTGCTTCGGGTGTAAAAGCATTCCTGGTCTATAAGATATGAAAGATATTTTAAATCCAAATTAGTTTTCAAAGAGTTCAAACCGCCTAGATTCAAATCTTTTCCTATCTTATAAGGGCGATTATCAAGTGAGTACTCCACAGCTTTGCTTTTATTTACTATCTTTAGCAGCATAAATTTCCCTCCTTTCTGCAGCCTTTTCTGTAGTCGTTTTTTGGCTTTATGCTTCCCCTCCCTTCTAAGGTCTATTAAATGCAAACACTAAAAATTATGGCAAACCATATTTTTACTGCACATATAATACATTTTGTAATCATGTCAGAGCCAAAACTGTTAATGTTTGTTTTTCAGGGGGGTCAGCATGTTTTAAAATATAATGTTGGGGGTGGGTCACCCACTTTTTTTTAAATTTGATAGGGGGTGGGTCAACTGAGATTTACAGCTGGCAAAATGGAATCTGCCGACCCCCCGTAGGCCGAAGTAACTGATCGACCAATCCCTAAAGCTGTATATTTTTTATTTCGTGTTTCAAATACAAGCTAAATGGTTGTTTTAATTTTCAAAATTATTTATTAAATGGTTTGAGACATTTCGGTGCAAAACACGCTCGTTATATTCCGTCCATCCAAATACAACAATGACCGCTACTGAACGTGAAACCACGTGATGCAACATCCTGCCGACCAGTATCATAAGTCAACGTACTCAACGGGGCAATAACTACTAGTAATTGTGTGCTAAACGAAGCTGTACAATAACATTCTATGTAGTTGTGTACTTTCAATTACGAACATTTTCCTTAAATGGCGACGGATGTGGAACACATTTTGAGAAACATGATTTTCTTATGTGGTGTTGTAAACTGTTGAATCTTTCTCGTCGACTTCCATTCAATTTAAGGTGACGGAATCGCATTAACCTGAGTTCAATTCAATCTTTATTTTCTTTTAATTGCCATATTTGATTTTTTGGTTTTGATTGCCGTTTTTCACATATCATATCTCTGTCGTAGTTAAGACCGATAATTGATAAATGTTTTTTTTTTCTGAGAACAGTTTCGTTACTAAACAGACACATTTTTATTCTTCGTAAACAACTATGCATTTTAGCCTTCGCAAGTCATCATTTGGTAATACAATTTGCAAGTAATCGGATTCCATTGCATCAGCTATCATCAGGACAAAAAAAGTACTCATTTTGATTCTGTATAGTTGGCATATACTTTGAAACCGAACGAAATATCAATGTTTATCAACACAAATATGGCACATGCGCAGCGCGACGACTACCGCGCTTTAATTCAAAAACACCAAACAGTGACTGAAACAAGTGACTTGTAGAATGCTGTGTGGGTAATATTTTTATATTGATTTCTGTTGCATTTGCAGCAAATAGTTACCAAACAATGAGAAATCTATAGGATTGAATATACCTCTCGGCTGGCTTCACATGCATAGTTCAAGACTGCCTAACCGGTGCTTATACAAGGATTTAATGACAGCACCTAGACGGTCTGTGGTTACAGTTTCATGGTCAGAGTAATCGCAAAATTGATATTACAATAGAAAATGATGAAGGACTGGCAGTCCGTCCCATGCAATTAATAGCAAGTGAAATTCCTGGGATTGAAACATGTATTTTAAAGTCACTGATGTAGGCAATGAATGATAACTTCAAGTTGGCATGAAGACGAGGTAGTTTATTTAATCAGTGCTGAACTAGAGGCTGAAATTATAATTAGGTGCGTTGTCATATAATTTGTTTATTTCAATTCCTTCTGAAGTCAAATAAAATGCACTGGTGAAACCGTGAGTGAAAAGGGGTATAGTTTACATTGCGTATGAAGTGGTAGGGTCGGGCGTCACATAATTTGTTCATTTCCAACTCTAGGATGTCACTTAATTTATTTTCGCTGAAACGTTTTCAAATATTACATGTGAATCCGATTTTCCCCGTGCTGTGTCTCAATAGAGTATGAGGTAAATGACATTTTCACTGGAATTTATTTTAGGGGAAAAACGTTTTCAGTAAAAATGAAGTATACCACATTATTACATATGTACTGCAGTTTATTTTGATTCGTCTATGAAATCGGTATTTCCACACCCCATATGCAAACAGTAGTCCTTTCAAGAGTAGCGTTTTCGAAACATAGCAGAAATAAACAATATTTAGAAGTGCGATATTTTACCCTTGGGGTACATGAATATATATGAGTGAAATGACATTTGAACAACAGTAATGGCAGTCACTTATTTTGACTAAAACTAATTTGCATATCACCCATGCAATAATGTTTTCGGTATTTTCACGGTCAATATGCTAATGAACGTGGTATTGGTGATCCGCTCCACTAGGATTGCCCCTCAAATCATGTGTGTGCTCAAACATGACAGGTAGGTCACACCTTTACCCTAGTAGTTGTTTTGGATAGCTTCGAGCTAAATGTATCTCCTACAAATTTAGGATACAACATCTCAGACAGACATAGCTCATTGTACTCGGCTTGAGTGTGGGCACAATGATACTGTTTGAATTTTTGATATCTTTTTTCATCAATGAGAAAGTTGACCCCAAATTTAGAGTAACTGTTCACCAGGTATGGCTTTTTAACTAACTCTTCTGTGATTTTTTTTTGGCTTGGCTGATTTTGTTCATACTTGACATGTAGGCCTAATTGGAAAAACAATCCTGACCCGCCACTACCATGGCAACAGCCAAAATCTGTTTTTTTTTAATACTTTCGTCCCAAATTTATTACCTCCTACCAGTCTTGTAATAGCAGTGTTCAAATGATCGTGCCTTTTATTTTGGCTACGTTGCGCACTGGTAAGATATCACCGGCGCCGACATTGTTACACTGTATCAATAGGGGATTTCAGGGGAAATTATACACATACATGGTGACATTGGAAAGAAATCCACTAGAACAATACAATGCATCTTATTTGATGAAAATCAGGTAATCGTTCTCGAGATATGGTACTTTGTAGCTTCAATCAGCATCTCTTAATTTTGGAAAAAGGATGACACAACAAAGCACTACTGAATAGTAAAGACAACGGCGCCATTTTGGATGAATAAGCACTAATTATTTAATTGGAGCTGAACTTGAACTGCCATATCTTTCCCCTTTTTATTGAATTTTCACCAAATTTTCAACAAATGAACTTTATATCAATGTTTATCTAATGTCATTAGAGGGCAATATATAGACCATATGTTACCATGGAAACAGGCCATATTCAAATTTCATTTTAAATCATCTGTCAGTGTCAATAATGATAAACAAGTTTTACTTTCGTTTATGTTGCTTTGTTTTTATTCTTATACAAATGCATTGAAAACGCCCTCATCGACCGGCTATGCGTTCTACCAAGCTTTGCTTATTTTTA